GCTAGGGCAGGACGCAGGACAAGATGTGCCACACAGTTCAAAATGGGTATTTGCTGGACAATTGGGATCTGAGATGGAAACGGGAAGGAAAGGAAATGAATGATCAGAATTTTGAAGAAGATACTGTATATAGTTTTAATTCTGAAAATCTTACCACCTCAGAAGATACTAACCACAGTGGGTGATACTCCTCCACTCTCCAACTGCAATGCCATTCTGTTGGCACAGTAGTGTGTACCCTCGCAGGGCTTCACATAGAGCCTCCCTGGCACCCTCCGTCTGCTCCAGCATCTGAATGCAGTCTTCAATCCGCTGCCAAGGATCTAGTGTTCTGCTGCATTCAGCAAACGGTCCATCGCTCATTGTCATGATGCTGCAGAGCTCACTGAACTCGCTTCTGTTCTGATAAAGTCCTGATTCCCAAATGTCTGCTGGGTCCTCACAGTTGGCTGACAGGGATCCGTCACGCCAACTATCTGCAAATTGCTGGGAGTCATCCAGCAGGACCCCATCCGGGCTGTAGAATTCATCATCATTGTTTCCATTCAAGTTCCCACACAGACCTCCAAGTGTACCATTGTAAGTGGTTGGAGCCGTGATTCGGACAATGTGCGGCCAGTCAGCTCTAACGGTCACTCCAAAGTTTGTCTCCAACACGAAACCCCTCACACTACTGTGGTAGATGTGGATCTGACTGGAACCAACACTGATGGGAAGGCCAACCATCTGTCCATCCACCTGAGGAGAATATGAAGGTTAATTCATCTAGCGTATGAGTTTATAATAATTAGGTTCAACTGCTCCAAGTAATTTTTGAGCTAACCTGTACATTGCTTCCTTCTCCCAATTCAATGGAAACATGAGTTCCTCCTGCCTCAAAATTTAGGAACCTGGAAAAGTCTTGAAGGCCTCTGGGTACTTTCTCCACAGTCAGAACAAAGTATGGCAGTTGGGACGGCCCCATTACTCTTGCAAGGGTCAGTCCACAAGCTCCTGGGTATCTGAAAGTGTGTCCATCAAAGGTGTGGTATGAACCCAGGCCTTCAACCGAACAAGAAGCATAACTGATGGGTCTGCAGCCCCTCACACCATTATGGAGTCCACACACCTCTGCTGGACCACATTGGTGCTGATAGCAGATCATTGACATGCCACTGCAAACACACTGTCTCCCACAGTCCTCGTCCAACACCACAGACTGTCCCTCGGAGTAATAGAAGCCCTCAAATGTGCAGCCACAGTTTACTTCAGGCACACATTGTCCAGCACTGAGGATGTACCCATCATCACAAATACAGCTCTCCTGATTCGGCAAGGGACAGTTCATTGGGGCAGATGGGTTGCTGCAAGTTGCAGGGCAGCTTGTTCCATGAGACTCAAAATGACTGTGCTCAGGGCATAAGATTTCTGGAAATGGAAAGCAGAAATAAGAATATGCATCAAACTCTGGATCCTTTACCAAATATTTCAGTTACATTAAGCTGAATGCCAAATTTACTTCCAATAAACATGGCACTTACCACAAAAGCCTGGTTGCCTCCAATGTCCTAGTTGTACACCCTGCTGTTGGCATTGAGCAGAATACACATTGAGAGCCTGGCACAGAATAGGCTGGTACCCTCCTCCTAAGCAAAGATCATAGACACAGTTCTCTATGTAGGTCTGTGGTGAAAACACAGAATGGCAAGATGCAAAAGGCCCCGAAACATCTCCCAGGATTCCACAGTGATTTGTGTCACTGTAAAGGCTCATTTCACTGTTGGTACAAACTGCACAAGCGAGACCTGTGCACCTGACATCATGGCATTCAGGATCTGTGTCACCCTCTACCTTCCAAGAGTTGGCAAAGTCAACATCCGAGCTCAAGATCTCCCCAGAGACTGAACGGAAGTCATCTTCGGGATGTAGGTTATAGTTCCCACACAGACCACATGTGGCATTCTGGTAGTCATACGGTACAGAGATGGTGACATAGCTATATGCATCATAGGTCACTAGGAGACCAAAATCTGTGCTGATGGCCAAGGAAAAGCCTGACTGATAGACTTGGATGGATCCATTGTGGAGGGTGAATGGTGTTGCTAGAAAGGTCCCATTAACCTTGACAATGTTGAAAACAGACATTAGGAAGATGGTGGATGGCTGAACTCAAATCAACATTACAGCAATACAGTGATTATTACCTTTGCCTCATAATAGTGATTTTTGAGCAATTCAATTTCTTCATTATAGACGAAAACTCTGACCATCCGAGTCCATGACACATGTGTGCTACCCCGATGCTCGTTTTTCCCCTCAATGCGATAGTACGGCAAACCATTTCCACATGCCTAAACAATGACAACAATTCTGAATAAGTAAAAGATACCCAATGTTTTAATATATCTCTTCTCTAAATAAATGGAAACCCATAGCAGCATTACGAACCTCAGACAGAACATATGTGCAGGTTCCTTGAAAGTGAAATATCTGATTGTCAAAGGTGTAGTAGTGAGGATCACCCGCGATGGTGCATGTTTGCCTCTGAATGTTCTGACAAGAGTATTGAAAAGCAGCTGGACGACAAGCTTGGGAATAAGTACAGGGCTCAGAGCTGCACTGGATGCCATGTCTGGTGCAGGAGCATCTCTGCTGACAGGTGGCATCACTCCAGAAGGAGTCTCCCAGCTGCACTGGAAAACCTATAACAAAGAGTTTATGGATAGAAACACAAAAAGTGTGTAATTACTGGAAGGCGTCACCAATGGCTCACTATCATTACATTTGAAAAAGTCATTCAAAGTCTTCCAGAAAATAGCAAATATTTCAAGGAATCGGAAAAGCAGTTTTACCATTAAATTGACAACCACGTGTTCCATGATCTGTCCTGAAGGCCCATCTGCCTGGCACATTGACATTGCTGCTGTATGGTAGGCTTGTGATGCCATTCTGGAGTGATCCAGTTATTGAGAAATGGTGACTTGAGTCGATGGTGTCATAACCAGCCTAATGATAACGAAGACATTCAGATGTCTGATTAGTTAGTCATAAACTGTTCAATACATCATATCAATGTCATCTCGTGCCTACCTGTACATATCGTTGCGTTGGAGCGATTGCACCGTAGTTCATTACAACAAATGAGAGATGGCCATTTGAAATCAAAACCACTTGGAAAGATGTTTCCTTAAAAAAGACAAATAATAATAATTTTAGTGAAGCAAGAAAACGTGTTATACCGATTTTTATTTTTAAATGGGCACATGAAGGTCTCCATGGTACCAAATTGTGCTACTTACTGTTCCTGAATTGTAGAAGTATGCAACTCTATCCCATGTTGCAACAAAGACCCATGAAGCAGAGAAACTCAAGTCAGGGAAGTATTGGTTTATGTCTTGGGTCGCCTGTGTAAGGACACTGCCAGAGGTGTATTGTTGATATGATATAACACCATTCCAGCTGTTGTCAATGTCTGTCCAGAATGGAGCGATGATGTCTTTCCCTCCATAAGCTGGGAACTGGTATGGAGAGAAGCTGTAGAATGCCCCGTCAAAAGTCAAGTGTCCATTGTTGTTAACCTGAAATAGAAGAGGTCTTATTATCAGGTGGCAATTAATTGCAACAGTATTTTAAACTGCAGTGAATGGTCATTTTCCATTTACCTTTTCACAAAGAGAGTTTACAGACATGTTTTAGACACTCAAAATCCAAAATCCTTTTACATCAGATTGACTTACATTGATTTGGTTGTATGTTTGCCCAAAAAATATAAACGGCTGCTGGAGGTATATAACTGATGAACTTCCATCATCAATGTGTCCATTTACTGAGTCTCCAGTTCCAAATGGATAAAATCGGCTCGTAATATTAATGCCATTGTCTGAGAGAAAAAGAAAAACATTATTGAAGATTTATTAGTAATGCCATTGTCATCCTTTTAATGTCATTTACCCTAATGTCCCCATCATAATATTTGCAATCTCTGAATAATGAAATAAAACATTTGATTCAGCATTATGACATATATCTGCATGGCTGTGATTACCTTTGGCCTCTTGCCTATGGCTGAATCACTTAAATGTGACTGATAATATAACAGCCTATATAGCTTTAAAAATCAGTTTTAACATCCTGTAAAAAACTTTAACAGTTTTTTTTACAATCGTTTTTTTTTTACATCAGTTTTTTTTTACATACAGAAGCCCTGAAGCGCAACGTAAAAAATTAAAAAAATGTTAAAAATGTTAAAAAATAAATAAATAAAATCTAGCATTTCGACTTTTATCTCGAAACATTTAGACTTTAATTTTGAAATGCAAGATTTTTTTTTTTATGTTGCGGTTCAGGGCTTCCGTACCGTAACATCCATCGCAAACCCATAATATTTTTTTGGAAACCCATATTATTGCTGATGCCAATCAATAATCCTCTATATTGTAACACAATCAGAGCCGATCCTGACCTCCCTGCCTTGGTAAACCATGAACAATTTGCCATCGCCACACTGTAACACCTGACACCCCAGTGTTCCCACTATCCTCCTTTAACTAGTTCTGTTCTTCACCCATATTGTAGGACGGGTACAGTTAAGACACCTTAAATAACTTTCATGCGCAGCCAGCAAAAGTTGTGATTTTTGCTGTGCACATGCGTATCCTCTTTGATCGTGGGAAATTTGATCAATGGACGCATCTCTGATCCAAAGATATTGGCAAAAGTTTTTTTTCTAAGGTAAGACATTCACTTCACCATGCACACTCCACAATGAATAGCTTATTATCATTATGTGACTGTTAAACGTAACTGGTATAAACACAAACGTTATTCTGTGGCCTAAAAACTGGCATATTTCATGGTATGGTGTCATGCATGGTCACTGCAAAATCTAGAGAAATGTTCGAGGTGGCCAGATTGACATCATCAAACATTGATTGTCGGGGCCATGAGAAAATTGCGGGGCCCTACGCAACTTCCGTAGTGTGTGTATAGGGCTGATTGGCCCTGAACACAACGTATCTTACCAGTCGTAGTGTCCATGGTTGTAGTTTCTGTTGTTGTAGTTTCGGTTGTGGTTGTCTCTGGCATGACAGTAGTAGTGGTTGTGGTTATGTTGCTTGAATCTGAAATAAATTATAAATATTAGATTAAAAAAAAAAATTATCTCTTACATAAACGAATGGCACATGTAAATATATTTACCTGCACAGTATGCCAAACTGCAGCCAGTTGGACTCACAAACTCATAGACATAATAATCTCCTGGACAGGCTTTGACTTTAATGGGATTGGACTGGAAATAGCAGCAGTTATTGCTCCAGTGACCGCAGACATCTCGAGTGACCACTCCATCCTCAACTGTTGGATGTCCTCCGTTCAGCCACAGAGGAGCATGAGTGCCACAACTATACTCATCAACACATGTGTCCGGCATCTGAACGCTCTGACCCTGAATGAAGAGACGGTACCAGCCGTTCCAGCTGACCGCAGTGTCACACATTATCTGAGAGGAATGTTGATTGTTGGTGGCTCTCCATGAATCATCCAGGATATTGTAGTTGTAGCAGGGGTCAACAGGGGGAGCTGTTGTCAAGGAAATATTAAAAATATATATTTTGAGGAATGAATAAATAAATGTTTTTTTGATGTGTATTTTTTGTAGTGGTTAAGTCATTAAACAGTTTACACTGTCTACTTAAGCTCACTGTTTTATTTGTATTTTAAGTTGACACTGAAGACAATTTGTCGTAAGCTTTCAGAACATCTCTCATTTAGCTGACAAAACGAGATAAAAACAGCCAAATTTGAGTCCTTTTGAGTCTACACACTGTTGATTGAAAATGATAATTTAGTTTGTTCTTTCAAAATTAAAACGTTTTTATTTTAGAACTGACCGAGCCCCCATTAAGGGTCCCACTTAAATGCTGGGTTGTTTTAACCCAATTTTGGGTAAAATATGGACAAACCTAGCACATTGGGTTAAAAATGTAATTTAAAAATGTAACCCAATGGCTGGGTTTGTCCATATTTTACCCAAAATTGGGTTAAAACAACCCAGCATTTTTTAAGTACAATGTATTATTGTGTTCCTGTTGTATTGTAAAACACTTTTGCTGCTATTGAGGTGTGATGCGGGTAAGGTTAGGGACAGGTGTGGTGGTATGGGTCGGTTTAAGGGTAGGTTAAGGTGTGATGGGAGGGTCAACTGTGTAATTACACATGTAATTACATAAATTAATTGTAGCTGTAATTACATGCTGTAATTTTAAAATGTAAGTACAATGTAAAAACATGTATGTACACAATAAGTCCATTGTATCAAATTATTAATTTCAATGTAACTAACTAGTACTTAAAGCCACTTAATATAAAGTGGGACCGGATATGAAATTACACTCTTATTCTTTATGTATATATATGTAACGGAGGCCAGCTAGTAGTTGCTGTGCGAGTAAACCTCACTCCCCGATCTCAATAGGCGCTCTAGCTCTTTAGCCTCCTTGCTAGAGCGCATGACTTTCATGCCGGAGACCCGGGTTCGAGGCCCGCTCGGAGCGGGGCGAGTAGGACCCGGGTGGAGGGGTTACATATATATATATATATATATATATATATATATATATATATGAATCAGTGTAACTTCATCTAGTTAAAATCTAGGATCTCTGCCAAATGCATAAATGTAAAACTAAAAGCTATCATATATATATGATAGCCTTTTATACATTGATACAGTTTTATAGTATATTGTTGTTCTTTCTATCAATATCATTTACTATGTTTTTTGGGTTATTTTAGACGAATATAATCCAGATATAATAATCTATAAATATCTGTCTGTAAATGCAGTAATTTCCCTCTTTCTAGTGTTAGGTGTATGCAGACAGGGGTTATGAACTGAGTTTGAGAAACACTGGTGGTTTGGATTTCACTGTTAACAAAGTTTCAGAACTTCACTTTGTGTAAAAAATACCTTCTGTTTACATTCAAATATAGAGAGTTTAAATTACATAATCATTTGTGAGCTGAATTACTTTTTACTAATGTGATTTTGTAAATATTTTCTGCGGAAATTCATTTAGCTATGAATTTACTTAATCTGATTAACAGGAACAAGATCATGTTCAAGAGAGTTTATGAAGGAAGCAAGACAATATTTACCAGTGGTTGTGATTGGTGGAGTAATGGATCCTATGGATGGGATCGTCTCTGTTGTTGATGAGATGGACTGGTTTGAGGAATCTGGTATTAGGAACATTTTATGTTAACAATAATCATTTCATTTTAAATTCCAGAAAAGTAAATGGCTGAAGATCACATGAGTACGTGCTCACCAACACAGTAAGCTCCACAAAATATTGGCTTGACAAACTCATAAACGTAGTAATTTCCTGGACAGGCTTTGACTCTTATAGGATGGGATGTGTAAGTACAGCAGCCACCCCATGAGGAGACACAGACCTGACGGGTGACCACTCCATCCTCCAGCTGTGGGTGCGAGCTGTTGAGCGTCAGTGGATTATAAGTGCCACATGCGTACTGATTTACACATGATTCTGACATCTGAGTATTTTCACCATTGTTGAACATCCTGTACCAGCCATTCCACTCCACATTATAATCACACATGCCATAGTAGTAATAGTTGTCTGTGGATCTCCAAGGCTCATCCAGACTGGTATAGTTGTAGCAGGGGTCGACACTTGGGGTGGAGTAAGACACTATTAGGGAAAAAGGAGAAAGAGAACATTATAATGTATATTGCAGATTAAAGGGGTCATGAACTGGCTTTTTAAATTTTATTATATTGTTGTCTGAGGTCAACTTTTGACGTTCACTTGGTTTTTACATTCAAAACATAAAAATTAATAAGTAATAGGCTATTTTCTACCCTAGTTTTGAGCCTAGCTGAAAAACGCTCAGTTTTTATGGGTGTCTTGCACGGAAGACTTGGAAGTAAACGCCCACTGCTGTGAGTGGAGAACAGTTTTTTGCATATTATAATGAGTTTCAACTCACTCGATGCACTTGGGGGGAAATTGTTTTGAAAACATCCAATGTTGTAAAATGGCAACTCGAATGATTCGCCCATACATGTTGCACCATTCCTGTCGGATCCAATATAGGCGGCACAGCACGTTCTTTACTCTTAATCGCTCTGCAAATCCAGTCTTGTTTACAAAACAATCCTCAGTGAAATGAAGCGAACAGACGATAAATTTTTACCTCATCAGCTGGAATGTCATTAAAAATAAAGTTTATTCATGCAGTCCTATTGGAATGCAGAGGAAGCTTATGCAGCACTGTCTTTTTTCACAACCAGGCACGGAACGATATTCTGTATTGCTCCGTAGCTCGATCTAGTTTGTCATCACAAGGTAGCAGAGGTGGGAGTAAGTCACTAAATGCAAGTCTCAAGTTAAGTCCAAGTCTTAACATTGCAAGTCAAAGTCAAGTCATTCTGTTGTAAGGGTCAAGTTAAGTCAAGTGAAGTCATACTCTTTGTGAAGTCAAGTCGCTACTTGGTCATCAAGTCATACTAAGTCGTACACAGGCTAGTTTTACACATTTTTTAACTCTGGGACTTTACTTTATTTAGACACAGAGGGCTGATGGGTTACAAAAATAAATAAATTAACTTGTGTGTTATAAATAAAATATCATTAAGAAGCACTTTAATAGATCTAAAATAAAAATAAATTAAATGAACACAAGTAAACAACAATTAATATATTAAGTTGTATACAACTTTTCCCATCTTGTAAAAAAAAGAAAGAAAAAAAAGATATTGCCTTCTAAATTAGTGTGCCAAAGTTTGTATGTTCTCATTCTAAATAGGTGATTTGATCCCATAACACAAAATATTATATGGAATTTAGGAAAACAAATCTAATCATTAGTGTTGTCACGATACCAAAATTATTGTTTCCATACCGAAACCAATTAAGAATCGAGATGTCGATACTTTTTCGATATTTTCCTGAAAAGGAAAGTATTTCTTTACAGGGCATTTCACACGCACCTCCTTTGCGTAGGTCTGTGCTCTTTAAATGCGGTATAACCTAATATAAATAAATCACTGACAAAAATGCACATGCTCTGATTATAATCATATAGCCTATAGATCAATTTAGCTGCATGATGTTTTGTATGCTTTATTCTAGCAGCTTGCAAATTATTTATGCTATGAAAGTGGGCTGAAAGTTGTACAGCTAATACAAAAATAAATAAAACATCTCCAGTTAAATAGAAGATAATTAATTTATTTCGCTATTAAATAAGAGATCTAGCGCTAAAATCTGTTGTTTTTTAAATCAAGAGGAGCGCTCTTTTTCGCTGCTATCAGTTGCATGGGCTTTTGCGGCTCGTGCACCGTCTTCGGACGCGCGCTTCATTCTATAGAGTCGGTTGGTCTGGGAACGCCCCCGGGAACGCCCCGTCACGTGGTGTGAATTTAGCTCGTGGGGGAAAACATTGCCTTGGCGCTCATTGAAATACATGGGACAATCATGCCGAAGAGTTGCGGTGTCGTTTCCTACCACCAATAAACAAACAAATTATAAATTGAAGTTCTACAGCCTTTCTTACATACATACAGAACCGGATAGGAGGATAAGATGGCAAAATTAATCATATCTTATTAGATTACTGTGTGAGTAGAGGTCCGTGTGATATAGTAGTAGATGTTTAACTCGTATTAGGCAGTGGGCCAGATTTGTCTGACCTTACATCCCTTACGAAAAAGAACTATAGTAATCCTATGGCTATTAGTATTCTATAGTAGTGTATAATACTTCTGTGATGTTCATTAATACCTATACTTCTAGGCTATGTCCCAAAATACTATAGTATTCCTATAGGATTAACGTTACTATAATATTTTGTCCTAAAATACTACAAGATTCCTTTAGTTGTTTTTCATAAGGGATGTTATTAGCGTTATCAGCTGAAGGTTATCAGACTGCAGTCTGTGAGAATTCGGATAACTGTCAGCAAAGTCCCTCTGCAACTTCGTAGCGACTACTAATGATCACCGTTTTACAAAAGGATTAATAGTTTGGAGTGAAGCATACGTACAATTGGTAAGTGACATGGTTTTATGGACTTATAGTAAAAATACGCA